TAGATGGCTGCGTCTCCGTCGTCTTCGTCGTCGCCGGCCATGTAGATCTCGTAACCGCCTACCGCAGGTTCGTCCGCCGCGGCAGGTTCCTTCGCCTTGGATTTCTCCTGCGCCTCGCCGTTCTCGTCTTCCATTTCTTCATCCTCGTCCGTTTCCTTCTCCCAACCGGGTGTGGGCGTCAGGCCCAGTGTGAACTCGAGCCGGGGCTCTTCGCCGTCGTATCCGCTCGCGAGCGTGTAATCCTGCCCGCGGCGGAAGCGACGCGCCAGGAAGTCATAGCTCGTGATGTGTTCAGCACCGGTAATCAAAGCCAGCCATTTACGGAAGGCGGACGAGGGGAACAGATCATTGAGCAGTTCCTGGATAGGAGTTTTCTGGTCCGATGTGACGGTCCCATGCTGCTGGAACAGATAGCGCTGCTTGTGCKGCGGGCGAGCAACAGTCCATTCGGTCGTGGCCTGGATCTCGTCGGAGGACTTGGGAAGTCCCTGCTTCTCCTGCTCTTCGATATAGGCCCGTACCCGCGCAGCAAACTTATCGGACAGGAAACGATCAAGGTTGAGTGAGGACTCGTTGGAGAATGTCTCGGACATTTCCTCGGCGATGTCGGGCGTCAGGTAGGACGGCGCAATGTACTGGAGCAGAAAGTTGAGGTCGGATTCGCTGAACTCGGAGCTGGGCTCTTCCTCCATCTTGGCCTTTCCCTTGCCCTTCACCTCCGGCTCCTTCTCGCACACGACCGGCTTGGCCAGGGGCAAATCGTATATGTCGCCGCGGCCCTGGAGCTGCGCCAGACTGCTTCGCTCGGCAAGCTTCTCCTCCAGACCTTCCTCGTAACCATCCTCTCCCTTCTGTGGGATATGGAACCATCCACTGATGGCCATGCGCACGCGCTTGGCCGATTTATCTTCACCCTCCTTGGGGTGATACACTTCCTCGACGTCATGGAAACTCTCACCGGGCTGGACGGTGAAGAAGCTGAGCTGGTTGAATGCCGGGGGTATGCTCAGACTGAAGTCGGGGCTGGGAACTAGGACATCTTCCCCATTGATGTCCTTTTTGGTGGTAGTAGGGTACAAGCGTAGAGCACCTCCCCATTCAGCTTGCCAGGGAGTGTCAGGATCAGTCAGGTACAGAATATAGCTCAGACGGCGGCTTCCAATCACGTCATCATGGCACAAAAGGTGGCATCCCTCGTTGTAGATGTTGATGGCCATATCGGTCTTGCGCCCGCTTAGCTTGCCAGAGCCCGTCACGGCCGACAAGTATTCCCGGAATCGAGCAGAGTACAGGGCATCCCGCAGCTTCAGCAATGAAGGTAGCTTTGACAGAGAAGCATCGTCCAAGCCGTCCAGATTCGCCAGATCGCCAGACTGAAAGATCTTGTAGATATCGGTTTCTTTCTCGGTGAAGTCGAGGTGTTCTTGGATCTCGTTACGGACCGATCGCAAAAGGGAATCCTCAATTAGGGGATGAATAACTCCATGCTTGTAACTTGCTCTAGTCAGCGCCTCTGTACCTTTTCTCTCAGTGAGCATTCAAGCGAGGGGATACCTACGGGCCAGACTGGGCGTATGCCTTGGTATACTTCTGCTGCTCCGAGGTCTGGAATAGGCCATCACGAAAGCGCGCAGCCACTTCTTCGTTTGACATTGCGCGCTTCTTGGTCTCCGGCTGGCCATTGCCATTCAGAGCCTCTCTTGTATCAGTCTTCCGCTTCATTTTGCAAGTATATATTGATACTTTATCGAAAAATTATGGGAGTATCTTCTGAGAATGGACGAAGATCACCATTTTCCCGTTTTTTCGCTACTTTTTTAAAGGCGGTGAGGAAATCGGCCAGATCAATCAGGCCATCCGTTATCCATCGATCAGCCCATGGAATGGTCTCATGGTCTGTCTTAGTATGTCAATGATCTATTTAATTTCCGATTGTAAAAGTGATCGACGAAGGCTCAGAATGACAAAGTCAAGAGATATCCAATCTGACCTTTACTTCCCTGTTATATTAGATGTTTGTTGAGGTATCGCTCTAATGCGGCCTGCAATCAGCCTGCGATAAGGCTACAAGGCCATCAACACCACTCAGTAGATGAGAAGTCACCATGACCTGGATCGCTTTGGTTTTGATAAGAATAACCTCACTGCTCATTTTGCTCAATGACAGCGAGTGGTCGCGCCCACGGGGATTTAGAACACCAGCAATAGCTACATCTCTTTGTTTATCGACATTCACTCGGTCGGCAAGAACCGAATGTCCGAATCAGGCAGAAGCGGCAAGACGTCATTCCCTCGTTGTTTCATTGTTTGGTCAGTCATCACTGGAACACGACGTAGTATCTACCCCCTGATCTACTCGACGCTTTGCCATTTCAACCAAGTCAACTCGTCTCTATGTCTGTCTCTACAGCATGAATACCCTTCTTTGATTGAGTTGAGAACGGTACTATGCAGCCAGCGCAAGAGAACCACGAGAACGACGATCAGCCAGGCACGCCGCCCCGCCCGCCTTATTCCCCAATGACTCCAGTTCTGTCGCATCTCGCCCCGGCGAACGACTCCGCCACGACAAACGGAGCCTCCCATCCCTTCGCCCCCCCAGCTACATCGCCCTCGCCTACTACTCCAGCTCCTCCCTATGCGTCACTCTCCAACTTCCCAAGCACACAGGGCCAGGCGGTCTTTGGTCAAGAGCCCCCCGCCGTGCCGATATCGGAAAGTGAGAACCCCGATGCGATCGCATTGCGCTCCGCCATTTCTATCCTGCAATTACAGAAACAGCAGAGTATACGAGATATACAGACCCTGGAGAAGTTGAAGAAGGTTGCTGCTGCGGATCCGGAGGGGTTTGCTCGCGAATTGGCTGCGGGGAATCTCACGTCAGCAAAAGATCAGGGAGCTTACCTCAATTTCACACATAAAGACGACAAACCGGTCAGCGACGCGGCAGGGGAGTCGACAAAGCAGGCGTTGGCCGAGATAGGACCGATCCCAGCGCCCCAAAACGTGGTCCGAATGCCACCGATCAACTGGGCCAAGTATCAAGTCGTAGGTGAACCATTGGATCGCATGCATGAAGACCAGTTGCGGCGTCCGTCTCCTGGCGAGCCGAGACGTCCAGAAACTTCGCAACGGGCGCCTGAGCATGTTGTAGCCTCACCTTATCGGCCGTTGGTAGATAAATTGGATAGTCCAACACAAGTTAAAGGGGCCAGCAAGAACAAGAAAATCTGAAGAGACACTGTCCATTTCCACAAGAACTGATCATTATTGTACATTCCATGCCAGATGGTGAGACCGATTCAGTCATAGCACGACATTTGTTGATTCATTATGTCACATTAACCCACCAAAAAGAGACAGCAGAGAGGGAGACATGCCAACATCTGGGACCAGCAGACCAGTTAGGATGAATCCAAACATCTGCAACTCTGCAGGGCAACTACACGTCCAGAATCTCTGCCAATGCTTTCTGAAGTCTGTCGTGGGCTCTCTGGACCCTCTCCGTCGGAGTCAGCTTGCTAGTATCATCGTCCATCTGGTCGCCTCGCACTGGCTGGAGATTGGTGGGATTCGCGCCGGGGTTGTTCACCATCAACTGAGCATGCAGCTTGCGATGAATCTTCTTGCGGAGGTCCTCACGCTCCTCCATTTTGGCCTTCATTCTCTCCTGAACTGCTTTGGTGAACTCATGAGCATGAACCCAAGTCTGGGCCTTGTTACACGACGGCTTGGTGTATCTGAGGATGGCTGCGATAGCCTCGTTCGAGAGAGGAGGCCGACCCTTGGTGGCTCCGTCGTACACGGGCTGCTTGTGGTTGGTCTAGGATTTGTGTGAGCGATGATCGACGGGCAAGACCTTTGAAAACTTACGCTGTGAGGTTTATTGGGCCCTGGGACATTCTTGCCGACTTCGTCGCGAGCTTGGAAAGGCAGTCCGAGAGTGGCCTGTCGAGCTGCCTGGGACTGAGCCATCATAACCTTCGCAATCTCCTCGCGGTTGAAGCTGACACGCTTGGAGGCTGGGTTTGGCTTAGGCTTGATCTCTTTGGGGCCACCCTTTGCTTTGGCTTTCGGGGATTCCCCCTCGACTTCGCGGGCGTTGCGCTTCATTGTGTGATCCAATTCTTCTCCGTCTTCGATAGCTGAGGGGAGAAGCCTAACGATTGGTCAGATCAAGTGCAGTGGTAGAACTGAGAAACTGACAGGATCTTGAGGGGAGAGTGGTGACTGAAGAGATGGCAAAGAGAAGACCAAGAGAGATAAATACAGATTAATGTCATGAGACGATCTACTTACCCTCGAATGTTAGTGTGTTGGTGTGCTTTGCTCGGCATGGCTCCGCTTGTGATGGTGAGCGAATAGCAGAGGTGATGGCAGAGACGTTGCACGAAAAGCGAGTTTTGATGTGATGCGGACTCTCCTGTAGCCTTGGAAAAGCCCCGGGGCTGGGAGAAACTTTTCCCTTGAAGGGTCATGTTTCCACTGCTGGGATGAAATAGTGAATGCGCAGTGGTCTGAGTCTGCTATCCAGCGACTTGCCTGCCCTCAAGGCTACGTCACAGCAGGACGATGACTAGTTGTCTTGAAATGTCATTACCAGCTTCCCCGACGTTTATCGCATGTCGGAAAGGATTCTAGGATTCATTTGACTCTCTGTACATATACAAGGTATCAATCATGCTGTGGATTCCGATGCAGCTTCAAGTCCTCCTGATCCCACTTAGAGAAGTCATACTGGGCGTGAAGAGCCCAACATTTTCAGGAACATAACTGCATCAATCAGCTTGTCCAGTTCTGGAACCATCACTACTACCAAGCTGTCCTTGACAGACGAGAAATGAAATGAAAACGCGCTTTGCAAATAACTTCCTCATTTGGAACCGTGATTCAAAGAACGGTCATTATTTTTCATAAATCATGTTGCGTCTCATAGCTGAACGCTTCATAACCCTCCCCAGATCCAGTCTCAGTCCCCTAAGCCATCCAATCTTCCTTGATCAAATCCGCCGCGCGCTCTTCAATAGCGTAAAGGTTAGCCATCGGGTGTCCGCAAAGCTGAAACGGATGAATAGACGCATCGACAACGCGAACATTGCCGTGCCGTACACCTGCAGCCGATTGTTAACGACTCTGCCTAGAGAACGGGGCATCATGGCCGCTGTGCCAATGGCATGGAAATTGGATGCATCTGCGCACTTGAGTTAGAGTCACCTCCTAGGAAGAAAGAGAGAATCACCCCACGTACAGTTATCTTTCAACCAGTTCGCCCACACCTCATCCGTGGCATCCCCAGGAACCGCCGAAAGACCAGGCCTCGATTCCTCCTCAATCATCCCCTCGAGCGGCGCAGAGCATCCGCCTGATGAACTTGGCAATTGCAACCTGTAGCTGGACATCCTACACCAACAAGCCGTAATTGGGGTTGACCCCGGGCTGGGCTGCTGGATCAGAAGAGCGGATGTGAACGTTCCCACGCGCAAAGGGGAGTAGGCCCCAGTACCCGGCGTTGACTGTTTTCTCGCCGCCGGGTTTGAAGATTATTTCTGCGATGGGGATGTTGTTCTTGAAGATAAGGTCGTGTTGGACTTGGAATAGGTGCTGCAGGTGTTCGGGTTGCATAGCTCCGTTGCTCATGTTGGCGACGGCAGCAGCGTACGAGGGGAGATTGGTACGTGTGAGGTTGGCGAAGGAGGAGGTATCCTCGCTGAAGATGTCTGTGGCTGACGCGAAAGTGACGGTTCTGCCGCCGGTGATGGGTGAATGCGTCGACGCTGTCATGAGAGTGTTCATCTGATCCTGTAGGTTCTCTCCGACGGCCGGGAGCGAGACTCGAACGGAGATGTTGTGTCGATTGAGGGTGCTATAAGACAGTTTCGGCGCATCAGCTCAAGTCCATTCATCGAGGATGTAGACTGATAAGCGGACTCACCGTGGATTACCGACTCCTGACAGCTCAAGAATGGCAGGCGACTTGAGGGCTCCAGCGGAGAGAATCACCTCCCTTCTCGCGATCACAACACTTACGGTGCCATTCTGTGCAGTAACCTCCACGCCAGCTGCGTTGATGTTCGCTCCACCGGGCCCCTCCCTCCAAACAATCCGATTCACTCTCGTGTTCAACCAGGCGTGCACGTTCGATCGCGACTCAACCGGCCAGAAATAAGCCCGAGCCGCATCATGCCGGATATACGCCTCCTCATCGATCGTCCAAGGTAAATACTAATCCCACGCATGCGCCCAGCATTGACATCTACATTCCACGGGATTCCCGCAGACAGAAGCGTCCGGTTCACCGCAGGCGTAAGGTCATTCCCACCTCTCTGCATATGCGGGAAAGCAACCTTGAGAGGACCGCGGGAGCCATGCACGGAGGCATCGTATGTTGCGCCTGCTTCCGTCTGCGCGGCTGTGGGCAAGGTCAGGTTCTCGCTCTTAAGGTAGTAAGGAAACAGGCTCGTCCAGTTCCAGCCGTCGTTGCCGATGGACTGCCAAGCGTCGAGTTGGACGTCCTCGGCACGCACGTAGGCCATTCCTGAACGCAGTCTTAGCTCTTATTCATACCGGTTGTTGGGTTGATTCACCGTTGATCGTGCTTCCACCCCCCAGAGCTCGTCCGGCCCGGAGAATCTGTGCATCTCCACCAAAGTGTTGTGGTTCAGACCTGAACTGCCAGTCTATTTTCCGGTACCAAAGGCACGGGAGTACGCGTCGATATCTGTCACGTTTACGTTGTCGAGGACTGATGGACCGGCTTCGATGACGAGAACGGAGACGCTGGGGTCCTCAGAGAGACGGTTGGCGACGACAAGGCCGCTGACTCCTCCTCCAACGACGATGAAGTCATATTCTGGGGCCAGAGCAGCGACCAGCGTGAGAAGGAGAATGAATGCACTGAGAGTCATTGTGCGTTGGTGGGTGAGGTGCCTGTATGAACGAACTCAAGAGCAGACGAACGATAGAGGCAGACAAGTGTGTGTGGAAGATTAGGATTTTACCGTTACTTAGACGAGATAGTGAAGGAGCAGTGAATGAAGGAAGTCTTGTCATCTGTAGGCTCAATATGTACAGATTTGCACTAGCGCAGGTATCTCTATGAACAAGCACCCGACACATGCATCTTAATCTGAACTCACAGCTTCGCATTTCTCTGCTTCTCAAACGCCTCTACAGCCCTCAACGCAGCCTCTCCTGCTGTCACTTTCCTCTCCTCCACCTTCTCCCTCCACGCCAGATTACCCGCATGGTTATCCAGGATGTCCAGCGTATGCCGATACATCTCCTCCTTCATCGTACCATAGATCCCAGTTGCAGCCTTAGTCTGCAGTCCCCGCTCCCGAATCAATTGCAGCGTCTCCTCAAGCCCACCTACGCCGTCCACCAATCCCACAGCAACAGACTGCGGCCCTGCGAACCGTTTCGCCTCAAGGATCAGATCCCGGAACGCGGACGGGGACAATTTCTCCCTGAAGATGCTCATCATGGGGCTCTGCAGAGGCACCCCGAACTCGAGCTCGTTGATGCACAGAAAGCCCTTGGCGGGATTCTGGATCCGGTAGTCGTGGTACATGGCAAACATGAGCCCTCCTGCGAAGGCGTGCCCGTTCAGCAGGCAGATTGTTGGCATGGGGAACCTGCACCGTGTCAGTAATCTGTTGCGTTGTGAGATCTCAGAAACATACGTGAGAAAGCGCCGGAATAGCTTCCAGAGCCACTTATCGAGGAAGCCCTCTGTGGTAGTTGCGAGTTCGAGGTCGAGCCCATTGCTGTAGAATTTGGGGATGCCGCTTGTGGTGATCACGACACCTTTGGGGAAGCGGTGTTCGATTATGTCTAACGCTAGAATGAGGGCATCGATGAATGTCGGGGTGAGTCTGTTGTCTTTTGGCGAGGTGAAGGTGAGGAGGTAGATGTTTTTCTCTTTCTCGGAAGAGGTGGGATTAGAGCAGACGATGCTGCCTCCTGTGGAGGAGATGGGGATGGTGAACAAGGACATGATGGCTTTGCAGTGGATAGTGCTTTAGTGATGTTTGACAGCGTTAAAGTTAAAAGATCTCGCGGTCATGAAGCTATGTACATCACTGTCAAGATGAGATATGCAGTTTGATAAGTGGTAGAGATAGCTATTTCTTGAACCTCGGCTCGGTTGGACAGCTTATACGAGAGGTAGAACGAATTATAATCAACCTGGCCGTATATCACATGCTTCGGACTCCGGTAACAAAGTAATCATATCAACAAACATATGCTCAGTTTCAACATATGTTCGTGTTGATGATTTCTGCGTAATCAGGCTGAAGATGGGATGAAGTCGATTGTTTGGATGCACTCATGCTGTGATTTGGCCTGAGGCTAGACATGGCTGCCTTGGGGCCACCGTGCACCATTAGCTCATTCATGGATATCATCCGGGGCCAACACCAACACGAGGCTATAGATCTCCTCTAGGTTGATAATGAAATGAGTCAACGAATCGAGGAACCTGCTTGCAGGGATGGAACAGCATCACCAATTAGAGCGGAACAAAGACCAACAGTCGATTAAGTCTCCGAACCTCAGAGGAACTCTCCGAAGTTTGATCTGCCAGGAACTTTCGGAGGCTTCGACTAATCTCAGAGACATCTTCTAATCTTATTCCTCCGTGAAATCGCAAAATGGCAAGCATTGCATTCCCGGAGTTTGCCAAACTCCACACTCTCTCAACTTCCCATACATACAATTATGTCTACCAAGCAGCAGCTCCTTCACGAGCAACCATCCTCTTCCTGCATGGGTTCCCATCTTCCTGCTATGACTGGCGTCACCAGATCCACCACTTCATCAAACTAGGGTATGGAGTCCTGGCACCGGATCTACTGGGGTATGGCGGCACCTCGAAGCCCACCGCGGTGGAGGAGTACAAGCTCAAGAGCATGGCAAGGGAGATCATTGATTTACTGGACTACGAGAGTCTGAGAAGGGTCCATGCCGTGGCGCACGATACTGGATGTAATCTCCTTTCCAGATTAGCAGATTATTACTCCGACCGTCTGCTGTCATGCACATTTATTGACGTTCCCTACTCGAAGCCGGGAGAGCATTTTGACTTGGACATGGTAAACAGTTTTACAAAGCAGTTGTTGGGATTCGAGAAGTGTGGGTATATTGAATTTTTTGTCGAGGAGGAGGCAGGCAGTACTTTGGACCAGCATGTGAGGGATGCACTCGTTGCGAGGAGAGCTCTCAGGCTAACGCTGCATTCAATGACAGGCGGACTCGTTCTTCACGCTGTTCTACCCCGACAGCCCAGACTTGTGGGCTGAGCATCTTGGGCCTGTGGGCGCCACAAAGGCATGGCTCCAGAATGACAAGCAAGGTCCTTTGGCGTCCTATGTCAGCGACGAGGTATATTATTGTCACACGGCATGGACATGCAGCTGACAAGCTCAGGAACGAGCTATGCATAACAAGATCTTGCAAGGCCACCACAAGCCGGCACTTAACTGGTACCATACTCTTGTCAAGAATGTGAACAAGGATGACGAGGTCGAAGCAGACATCAACCCAAAACTGAAGATGCCAGTTCTCATGATTGGCCCACAACCGAACAAGTTTGAGATACCCGGATTCCTTGAACAGATGGAGCACTTCGCCGAGGACTTTACACTCAAGCGAGTGAGTACGACAAGCCACTGGATACAGCTGGAGGCGAGGGAAGAGCTGAATTCTACGCTCGAAGCTTTCTTTGCACGTCCTGACTTTGCAGGTAAGGTATAGCAATGCTGGTGTGTTCCACGCAACGCAGACCACGACACCCTAGACGAACTTCATTCTGTATAAAAATAGCATAGAATCGAATACCAGTCTCCCTTCAAGTCTTCATGGTTAAATTAGTTCTCCCAGATTCCTCGGCTCCAAAATTCCCAGCTGCTCAAATTCAGCTCAAGGGTTGGACCTCAATTGTCATATCCTGAACGACACTCCTTTAGTATGACATCCAAAGCATGGACGTAATTTTACGATAGCGCTGAATTGATCTGGCCGTCCTGTAGATCTCAGGATCGAGATCATTGATCAGTCCCTGCATCAGCAAGCTGTATAGCAGTAGGCCTGTCTAGCAGAAGTGTATAAACTAAGACAGATCGAAGATATCCCCAAGTGTTCCTCGACGATTAGGAATACAGCCGATGAGTAGATCAAAGGGTTATTATAATTGCAAGGAACTTTATGGAGGTCTCTTCAACAGAGTGATAACCGGCAGATGTAATTTCCAGCGTTATATATAATTGACATGGGGAGTGGTTCAGTCCATGGAGTCGCCAACACAAAACACATCAAGTCCTAAACGACAAGCAAAGACAATGTAGATAGGCGAAACTTCGAGTGAACAGATTGGTTGTATTTGCCTTCATCTACATCTCTCCTACGGAGAAAACAGAAATCACACATAGGACGATCGCGAGTGAAGCAAGGCATCGTCACTGACGTCATGCAACCATCAAACTGCTTATCTACCGCCAGGACGCCAGACATTCTATGGATCATCTATTGTGCAATTCGAGGGAGACGAAGCCATTGTATCGCCCCTTTTCTATCAATTTGTATTTCATCGCCTAGCTGCATTCGCAAGCATCATCAAAATGGAATCACTCCAACAACCAGCGCAACCCCCCAAGCAAGCCGCATACGATCAACCCGAGAACCCCGTCACCCATACACCCATCGAGCAGCGAGTTCAGCCTCACCAGCGCCAGCGCGGTGATCCCGTCTCCTCCATTACCCGTCGTACCGCAGACTCCAACCCATCTAGCGATGAACAACTCGCAAGTCTAAAGCAGAGGCGCGAACAGGAACAGAAGAGCCTGCAAGCGGCCTCAGATGTTGACCTGGAATATGGCGTGGAGCAGCAGCCTGCAGAAGGAGACATTGCTCGGGCGGTAAGACATAAAAGCGAGCGAGCACAGGCTGGGGCGCATGCCGGTCCCGTGGGCAGTGCACAAGGGCCTGGAGACCCTGGATTCGGAGAAGAAAGAGATCTTGCTGCGGACATGGGCCGAAAGAGGGAAGAACATGATCGAATTCTAGGGGACCGTGTTGGGCAGAGTCCTGCAGAGCCTGATGGAGAGACCGCTGAGAGGGAAGCGCTAAGACAGCGGAAGCTGAAGGAAGAGGAGAATCTGGATGTGAAAAGAGCTGTTCGTGCAGGTACAGGAGATCCAGTCGCCTAAAATCAAGTAGGCAGGGATAAATTGGTGTGATGGAATATGTGTCTTAGTAGATAGACGTGAGGATATGTCATTGCTTAATTGTACAAAAACATGCGATCGGGTATCAAATCAATCTGTTAAAAGATGGAGTGTGCAATCAAGTATCAGCATCATCGCCCTCACCAACAGAGACCTTCTTCAATGATAGATCCCGCTTCAAGTCCTGGATACGCCTGGCAAGCTTGTGCTTCAGGATTTGGTTCTGCATATTCTCCCATTTGACCGTCTCGGCGCGGATAAGGGCCTCGAGCTCGGCAATCTCTTCGCGATGCTGCTGGAACTGGCGCTGTTGCTCAAGCTGCTCGTCATCCAGTTCTTCTTCAGGCACATCCGCCTCTTCATCAGCATCTGATTCGCTTTCATCGCCCGATGTATCCGCTGCAGGTGTGGAAGGTTTGGTCGCCATTGGAGTCCCAGCTTGATAGAGATTCGCCAGGCCAGTGTCCGAGGAAGGTGCTGCCTGTGGCTGCGCTTCACTGTCTCCGCGCAGGGCAGCTTCCATTTCCTCCAGGAGAGGATCGAGACCTCCATCATCGGCAGCGACCTCCTCCATACCCTCATCGACCTCGCCCTCTGCGTCCTGTTCGTCGTCATAGTATTCGTCTTCCTCGTAGTACTCTCCACTCTGGACAAGTCCCTCCGCCCGATTTAAGGATGCCCTGTCCAACAATTCGTAGCGAGAGGCAATAGCGGCTTCGTCCTGCGCGATCAAATCTTCCACCGCCTTCTCTACTTGTTCTATCGTTCGCGTGCTGAGCCGCTCGCGGAATCGCCGCTTTCTCACGTAACGCAAAGGAGGTGTCAGACCATGCGGATACTGCAAAGTCTTATCGTCTAGAATCTCAATGTCGGAGGGAAGAGGGTAATTGAGGGCCTCTGCATCGCTCGAAACGGGCCCCAAGACTAAAAGCATCTGACAGATATCCGCAGACTTATACCATCCACGCCGATCCCAGCTCTTCATGCCTTCGACAATACATGGCAAGTCCACCAACGCGGCTGCGTACTGTTTATCGCGAATTCGCAGGACGGCGCGTCGGCCCTCGCGTGTGAGGGGCTTGAAGGAAAATTCAGACCGATCAAATCGTCGTTCGTTGATCGCTTGACGTAAATATTCGCAATCTTCGCCGGGAAGCATGCGTAATATGAATTGCTCCTCGATGCAAGGATCGATTTCCGTATCCGAGGCTTCAGAGTCGTAGCCAACGCCGACAGGTCTGTTGGGGACCAGCCCCTTGTTCTTGATTCTAATCGACTGTACTCCCGGCTTCTTGGAAGCATTAAGCTTGATACGTTTCGGTCCCACGGGTTGCGCCGATGCCTCTGGTGCAGAGCGACCGGTGAGCCCCTCCGCTGGTCGCTTTTTCGATGGCTTCTTCTTCTTTGCCTTCTCCTCCTCTTCGGCCGGTTGAGGCTTTCGCGCGATTTTCAAAGTGATCTTACGCTGAGGTGTTTCTGACGAGGAAGGAGGAGGCTGACTCGGTGGCTGCGAAGCTCCCTCGGGCGCCTTCTTCTTGCCCAGTGTGAGCTTGAGTGAAGGACGAGGGGCGTCAGACATGATGACGATGTATGATTAGGGACAACAGAGCGCTGCTCACAACAGACAGCACTAACGAGCTCTGCAAAAAGAAGTAATCCTCTGAAACCGTGTTGTGCCGTTGTCGTGATGAGAGAGGGAAGAACCAAGTGGAAGGAGACAAGAAACGCCGCCGCAAGTAAGAGAACAACCGGCAGAAAGTGTCGATCTTTC